AGAATGCATAATTACCGAATTATTTTTAAATTAGAGAAATTTTGATAAAAAAAACAAACAAACAAAAAAATGAAAAACGGTTAAATTTTAATATAAAATTGTTGTTATATATTTAATTGTCACATTTTTCTCTAATTTAAATTAATTACCGTAGTAAAAAAGAACAAGGGAGGTAAAAGAGGGTAGCCAGCCACGTTGGCATATTAATTAGACAGGAAGGAATTTATGAATATCATGAATAAATGATGAATATTGCAGGACACGTGTAGTACTCAGCATTCCCTTGAAAAAATTCTGTACTAACTTAAATATTTTCCACTTTCCCAACTTTACCCTCGCCTCGGTCAAACCCACTACAGTTATTTATTTTCCACGTCATCACAAAAATAAATACTACACACATATTTAACCCAGAAAAATAACAAAAAAAAAAATAATAAAACGAAATCTTAAGGTGAGGGAAAACAGCCGGCGTGGGACGGCGGAATTTAATCGGCTCCGTCGTGGACACCAATACTAATCCATCAACTAAATTTGAATTATTAAGCTGACGTCCGAGAATTAAATTATTACAGCTATTATTAACATTTTTAAAATACAAAAAAGAAAAAAAAATGTAGATGACGTGGGAACCTGGGGTTAAAGGTCGCAGTCGTTTGAAATTGTTTCCCACCGCCATTTCGGCGCGTGAACTGAATGAAAAGGACGAAGTGGGTCCGACCGGTCGGCATGGTGCTCTCTGATTTTCTGCGTGTCTCTGTAGTCTGTCCCGGTCGACCCAGTGATTTCAAAAAGTAATTAAATCAATTACTAATTAATAAAAATCACAAAAAAAAAAATAAATAAAAATAAAAAGGTTTTGGATTTTCTTTTTCTTTTTTCTCATTTAACCGCACCGAAAGACATTTATGATTTTATTTATATTTTACCGCTTCAATTTTTATCTCTCTGCTAATATTATGTTAATTTAATTTATTAATATTAATAGAACTTAAAACAAAGTCAAAAGTCAACAACTTAGTTATATATTCTCCTTTGACATTCATTGTCAACCATTTTTAAGTTGTTTGTGTTGTGGATGACTTCGCCGCCGTCGTCGTCCATAAAACAGAGGATGCCGGCGGCCGACTTAGGGGAGACCAGAGCATGCAAATATATGTTATAAAAAAAAGAAAATTAATGTCACAGCCGCTTTGGTTCTGTCGTTTTTGGTAACTTAAATGATGAATAAATTAAGGAAAGACATTAATGAGCAGCATACCAACAACGTGCCCCCCATTTATTCTTGCACTCGGGATGGTGATGTGAGGCCATGATTATGGGTAGCATGTTTGAATGATAAGGGGGTGAGAAAAAATATTATATTATTTATAAAATCAAATAATTACTATAATCATGGGATGCCACCAAAATTTATATCTCTAATTTGTCCCCTAATTATCTTAAATTTATGTAATTTGTAATTATTGAGATTTAAAGGGGACAGCATGTTGTGTTGTGTGTTAATCCTACATCAAATTATGTTGTCAATGCTTTCTTTTTGATGCTTACGTTTGAAGCTGTCGCTCTATAAAAACACATAAAAGATTTAATGAAAATTATTTATTATTTTCCACGTCATATAATTAAAGCTGGGGGCTACAAAAACAACATAATTATGATTGTTAATAAATATATTGTTTTTTTTTTCAATTTAATTTAATTTGATTTCAAATTTTGTAAACCAGCTGTTAATTAAGTTTCGGAATTGCGGCCGTGAGTGGCGGAGGAGAGGCAGTGGTGTCCAGGTGGCACCGGTTTTTTTGTTTTCCACCGCCGGCACCATTGAAGAGAGAGAGAAAGAGGAGAGAGAGAAACCCTAAATTGGTGGTAGAGGTAATAATTTAGGGTTTTTGAGTGAGTCTTAAGATTGTCCAAGCTTAGCTAGATATAATAATTTCTTTTTCCCCCACTTTTTAGGGTTTCAAAAATAAAAATAAATAATTTTTAATTATATTTTCAATGTGCTAATTTTAATCCTATGCTTTCATTAAATATTAAAAATAGTATGACTATATAATATTTATTGTTATTATTGTTTAATCAATCAATTTGATAAAAATTAACTCTACAAAACTCTTAATTTAAGATTTATTTCAATTATATACTAAATTAAAATGGCACAGAATCCCAAGTTTATGAATAAAATTAATAGTTTATCCACGATTAATAAAATTAAAAGTTAATTTTTTTTATAATGTGTTCAATAAGCCCTTCATCTTTAAAATATTTATTTATTATTTAAAATTTTAAATTTATGTGTTTATTTAATTATTAAATTTACAAAAGTGTCTAAATAAATTTTTCCTACAATTTAATTTTGAGATTAACTCAATTATCTTTTAAAAATAAAGTTGAAATTTTAAAATTTTATTATAAAATAAAATTTTGTGTAAAATAGATTCTTCAAATTTAAAAAATGAAAATTTATATATTGTTATTAAATATATCAAAAATTCATGGACCCACCGAGGTAGAAATAAAAAAATTAAATCCATTTTTATTCGATAGATTTTCTAATTCGTAAATTAGTTTAACAATTTTATAAGATATGAGGATCGAATGATCGATCTTTAAAATAATTATAACAATCCACGCTCACCAACAGTAGAAATTATATGTTTTGACCCATTACGTATCGTAATCAGTCTCACAATTTTAAAACATGTTTGTTAGTAGGAGGTTTCCACACTCTTATAACGAATGTTTCGTTTCCCTCTCCAACTAATGTGAGATAACATAATCCACCTCCCTCAGGGCCCAATATCTTCACCAGCATACGGCACAGTATCTAACTCTAATATCACTTATTATAACTCAAACTCACTGCTATTAATATATTATCTATTGAAGTGTACTTAAATGGAGAATTGGTCTGAAAAGCTGTCGTGAATATTAAATAAATAGATAAATAAAAAGAAGAGAGAGAGAGAGATTGGGTTGGGTAGTTAAAAGCAGCTTCTATTCTCTTTATGTTGTTTTCAAGTTCACTTTATAATTGCAAGAAAATCTTTTTGTAGGGACCAAATGAATGGGATTTTGGTTCCCTATCCAATGATTTCATGTAATGTCAAAATATTCTCTCTTTTTTCCTTCTCCTTTTCCTTTATAACTTCTTAAAATCCACACCCTTTCACATGCTTCGGGATGCCCTCCCACGCCTAACTTTGTTCTTCGTTTCGATTAGGTCCAGTTCATTTTATTTTAATGTTTTTATACGTTACATTTGAGAAAAGAGATTTGAATCGCTAACTCGATACATAAAATGTAAATAATTGTTCGAAAGTATAGTCTTTTCAGCATGTTCGACCTAACTCACTTATGAACCTGTTTGAAATGACTGACTTAAACCAATTTAAATATCGAGTAGAAGATTAAAAGAGTGTGGAAATAAAGACATGGGTTATGGGATTGCCCTAAAGGTGTTCGACAAAAATCCCCAATCGAAAATTCCCTTGCCTCTCTTTCCCTCAGCATTCCCCAACCCTCGGCCTTTAATTTCCAAAGGACATTCATCTATCAACCATATAATTTCCCCCCTCTATTTCGCCCCTCTTTCAAATTGGAAACTAGGGAGTGTATCTTGCTCGTTGACGGAGTTTGCTCGACCGTGGAAGGAGGTGGTCGATGTTACGGTCATGCATGTTCGAGACGTGTTGTCTATAACCGTATATCGGGTGTCTCTGTTATGTTTGTTTAAGATATGTTGTCTATGACTGTATGTCCATTCCAAACCCTTTTCACATGCTTTCGTCTTAGATAGGTTTTTACGTCAATACATAAGTATATGACTGTTCACCAAATGCTCCAAAACCTACTATAGGAGTATGCGATTAGTCGTCAATTACTCATACCCTGAATTGTATGTTATATAAGTCTATGTATTGTTTTTTTTGCTTATAGCCATATAACGTTGTTTTCAATATTTCTTTCAAACCTGCTTTCAATCTCTCTTTCGAAAATCTTTTTACCCCGTTTTCTAAAACCTTCTTCTCAAAGCAGAGTCAGAGCCTTGAGAATATGTTGCTCGGCCGTACGCGACAGACTTTAAATTAGCTAGATTCACTCGATATTAAAAGTGAGTGTCGCACACTTGTAAAAATTCGCTGCTAAGAAAAGTGCGATCGTAACCATTGACACAGTTAGGTGAAATGCAATAGACGGGAGAAACAGAGAGGGAAGGGATTAAAGAAGTATGAAAAAAAAGGAAAAAGTGGGAGGGAGCATGTGGCTTGATTAGCGGGAAAAGGGTTGGGGATGGGCTAGTTGTTGTGTCGTTTAGCTGTCGATATTGGTGTGTTTTAGCATATTCTTATTCCAAAACTTTGACCATCTGTCCCCCCCACCCTCCTTTGTTTCTATTCCAATTCCACACCTTATAAAAATCTTACAAATTTGTACTGCTCCAATGTAAGCACAAGCCCACTTTCACAACAAAATTAAGGAGCCCAATGTGGACGAGGCCTCCCCAAAAACCAAGTAGTAGGTCGGGTGAGGTTTCCACACCCTCGTAAGCAATGTTTTGTTCCTCTCTCCAACTAACGTGACATCACACAATCTACTTCCTTGTGAATCCAACGTCTTTGCTGTTATACTACTCGATATCTAACTCTAATATCATTTGTAACTGCCTAAGCCCACCGTTAGTGATATTGTCCTCTATGGACTTTTCCTTTCGAGTTTCCACTCAAAGTTTTTAACCAGTAACTCAAAGTCTAACCCTACTACAACTAGTAACTCGCACCATCTAGTAACCTAGCTCTAATACCATTTGTAACAATCCAACCCGAGATAATATTTATTATTAGTGGGCTTAGATTATTATAAATGGTATCAAAACTAAGCACCAAACCGTGTGACAGTGAGGATGCTGACCTCAAAGATGAAGGTAGATTGTGAGATTTCACGTCAATTGAAGATGGAACAAAACATACTTCTCCCTAGCAGATATGCTTGAAAAGGTAAACGACTGACATTCAATTCATCCAATTTATTAGTGATATAAAGAAGGACTAACATTTAGTTTCAAAATTTCCAATTAGCTTCCATAAATGCAACAATCTCATGTTTAGGAGGCAGAATCTCCTTCACCACGCCATGCTTAGCAACCTCTTCACTCCATTTCATCAAATTGGGGAACTTATCACTTCTCAGCACCTCAAACCCAAAGCATTCTTCAATGGCAGGAACCCATCCCACTATCACACTCCCAACAACATCCACAAACCCAACCCTCTCCCCTCCAAACAACGTCCTGCTTCCAAGCTCTTTCTCAAGCGCTCCCAATGCCTCCCCTGCCTCCTCCACAGCCTTCTCTCTCTCTTCTCCTTCGCTTCCAGCAGCCTTCACTACCGCCACCACAACCTGATTCAAAACCCAAAACAGAGCTTCAAATTTCATACCCATTAACCCAAAAACTGATGAAATTGCGTACCTTGTCATCGATGAACTTAGCCCAGAATCTAGCAACAGCTCTGTCATGGGGATGTTGAGGCAATAATGGGTTTGTTTTCCAATTTTCATCGATGTACTCGAGGATTACAAGAGACTCTGAAATGGGGTTTCCATTGTGGACAAGAACAGGGACCTTTTTGTGAATTGGGTTGTATTGGAGAAGCAAATGGCTCTTGTTGTGGGGCAAATCTTCCTCGAAGTATTGGTATTCGATGCCTTTGAGTTTGAGAGCTAGCTCCACTCTGCGACTGAAGGCACTTTCCCAGAAACCGAACACTTGAAGCTGTTCTGCCATTGTTTCAATTTCGTGCCTGTTTCGATTGGAGTGGCTTAATTTAAATATTGGGAAGAACATATATTAGTATAATGCTAAAAGTCAAGATTTTGGTTCGGTTTCTTGGGGCGGAGGTTATGGGTGCTGTCAGCCGTTACGTAAGCGGTGGAATTGTCGCCGGCAGCCGCTGTTGGATGCGTGGAATTGTCGCGGTCGGGGTAGTGAGTTCTTGACATTTCAATGGTCGTGATCATGACTCGTTTACCGAGGTGACATCGAGATTTGATTGGTGTTGATTAATGGACCAAAATGATGCATTTTTTTTTTCAAACATTGAGGATTTAATTAGTTTATGATGTGACCATTAACATTGTTGGAAGGAAGTTGAAAAGTGGGGAGCTTACCATTTATTTCGGTTAGCGTCACGAGCTTGTCGTAGTCGGTCTAATAAGAAAGAATTCCGTATTCTTGCATGGCTCTTGCTTCTCCTTCCCCCTCTCCCCGTTTCATGCACGACTCTTGCTTCTTATTTCTTCTTCTTCTCGTTCACAACAAGGTTGTATAGAGTATAGTCAAGTAGTAAGTCATTGTAGTCAACCGAACAAGAAAGATCCCTGTGTTCGTGCACAGTTCTTGCTTCTCGCTTTGGGTTTCCCGTTTTACCATCCAAAATAAGGTTGTACGGAGTATAGCTAGGTAGTAAGCCATCGTAGTCAACTCAACAAGAAAGATCCCTATATTTATGTACGACTCTAGCTCCTTCCTTCCCCCTCTCCCTATTCTACCATCCAAGATAAGGCCATATGAAATATAGTCAAGCAGTAAGGCATCAATTTTTGGTATCGGGCATGCAAATGTTCGAATCCTTTTTAAGCCAAGTTATGAACATTCGATCCAGCTTGTCAAGAACGAGCTAACGGCATAAATTCCAGCCAGCCAACCCACATAATTACAAGCCTTTTTTTTTTTAAATTAACAAAAATGTGCAAGTTTTATATTAATTTTTTTTGTTGAACGTTGCCGAATATCAAACCTCCATAAGTAATAACAATGTTCTTTTTCAAATGTTTCATACCAATAAAGATAGAATCAACCGTAACTCAAATTTAGCTGACGGATCTACTCAAGAGATGAGAGAGTAAACACCCTACACTCACGTAATAAGACCCCAGAAAGTATAATCGTGACACCATCCCGACAATCTAAATGAGAACATACCCAAATTCTCGTTATTTAACATAGCTTTCGTTGCATACAACCAACCACAAACATAAAGTGTTCATGATGACACGAGAAAGGTAAAGTATTATTCATTTATCACAATCCGTATCTGCTTAAGAAACGAAACCAATCTCTAGTTCCTGCTTAGAACAGTTCGCAAATAAGGCACGAGCTTATCTTTTGGCGGCAGAATCTGTTTCACCACGCCATGATTCACAACCTCTTCACTCCATTTCTTTATATTCGGGAACCTGTCACTTCCAATCATCTCAATCCCGACAGCTTCATCAATGGCAGGAGCCCAGTAAGCTACCACAGTGCCAACAACATCCACAAACCCAATCTTCTCTCCCCCAAAGAACCTCTTGCTTCCAAGCTCCTTCTCAAGCGGTTCCAACGCCTCCCCTGCTTCCTCCAACCCCTTTTCCCTGTCTTCAATTTTGGCTTTTGCAGCCTTCAGCATCGCAACCACAACCTGAAACCCCACAAAATTCAAGCATTACAATGAATTACCACATTTTCATTCAACAATTCTCTCAAATTAACCCACCTTGTCCTCAATATACTTAGCCCAAAACCTAGCCAGAGCTCGTTCGTACGGATTTTGGGGCAACAGGGGGTTGTTTTTCCAGATTTCATCGATGTATTCGAGGATCACAAGAGACTCAGAAATGGGTTTTCCATGGTGGACGAGGACAGGAACCTTCTTGTGAATTGGGTTGTATTGGAGGAGCAAATGGCTCTTGTTGTGGGGTAAGTCTTCCTCGATGTGTTGGTATTCGACGCCTTTGAGCTTCAGAGCAAGCTCCACTCTGCGGCTGAAGGGGCTTGCCCAGAAACCGAAGACCTGCAACTCTTCCGCCATTTATTGTCTCTGTAAAACACTCAGAAGCTTGGTGGTAATGATGGGGAGTGGGTTATGCTGCGTGTTATATAGGCAGAGAAAGTGGAGTTTGTCGCTGAAGAAAGGTCTATGTTGGTGTCGTAAGCGGCTATGTAAGCGCTGGGAACGGTCGTAAGCACTCATGTTACGTTGATATGGTGGGACAACTTTTTAATTTTTATTGGTTTCTTTAATTTTTAAATTTATTATTTTTAATCTCTAATTTTTATTTTTACCATATTGCTTTGATCTATATTCATATATATTTTTTTAATCTCAAATTAAAATGTCCATAATTAAAATAATTTTTTAAACACTATACTAAAATATTAGCTAAATTAATAAAAAAAATAACTCTATTTTCTTTCAAAAATATCTTTAAAATTTTTTAAAATTAAAAACAATTACCCTTAAACTAAAAAAAAATTACAAATATTAGTATTTTTTTTAAAATTTTGGATGAAACATTAACAACTTATTAAAAATATTCTTGTCAATAGTGTTTCAAAATTAATTAAAAAAAATTACCTTAAACTAAAAAAAATTACAACAGTTAATAACTCATTTTTAAAATATCCTTGTGGAAGTGTTTCAAAAATAATTTTGAGTTTTTAATATTTTTTTTAATTCTTTCAAAAATTTGAATTTTTATAAAGGTAAAATGTGTTAATGTTAATTTTAAAATTTAATGAGTATCTTTTAAAATATACTCATTAACACAGTGTTTTTTTTTTCTTTTTAAAATTAAAAGATATTAATGAAATTTTTTGAAGTTCGAAATTATTTTTGAAACAACATTAAAATTTTAAAGATAATTTTTTAAATAAAATACTAGACAGCTTTTATCCCAAACTGACCATAAATATATTTTTAAATATTTTTTTTAAAAGTTTAATAAAAGTATTATCAAACATTTAGAAAATTTAGAAAGTTGCTTAAAATATATAATACTTGAATTTATTATTATTTTTTTTTCCGAAAGAGGGGTTGTGGACCATATTCTTGACTTGCTAACCTTAAATTAGTTTACTGAATCATCTTTACCAAGGGTTTTCCCTAAAGAAAATTATATCCTCAATTTAATAAATACAAAATTAATTAACTTATGCCACCTCAGTCTAAAATAGGACACTAAAACGTCTAATTGAGTATCATAACCGGAAGCTAATTACGCCTAATTTAGAAAGTTGCTTAAAGCATTTATGTGATGATAAAGGATGAAACGATGTGACAGAAAATTTTTTATACAACTAAAATGTGTTTGGATGATAACATATTTTTAATATGTTTGAAGAGTTCATAGCATTAAAGATCGGAAATACGATTTCTACATGTTCAAATCCATATGATTCTCCTTTCCTGGTTGGAGAGGACTCGGCTCTTAGTTAGTACCCCTTGGTTTCGGGGCGGCCCATTCGCCCATTCAAATCAAAATCGAATCATTCCTACCTACCTAGATCGACCTAAAGAGACCACAAACATTCAAAAATTCATAATCTTTGGCGAATTCCATTTCCAACCTTCAATCAGTTCAGTTCAATCAAATCTCTCACTGATGTGGAGCAACTTCATAGAATTCATCACTTCTTACCTTCCCAATAATTTTCAGACCTTATATACTCAATTCCTGTCTAACAAATCATTGCCTTGAATCATGTAACTCTCATGTATTCCCAGCTATTCTTATGACCATCAAACACTTCCAAACAATCTCAAAAGAAGTCATCAAAAGACCTAAAAAGAGTAGGAACCTTCGTAAAGAGACTCCGACAAGGTTCCAAGTACGACTAAGAATTCGAACTAAGAAAGACACACAGATGGTATGCCATGAAGGCCATCATCTTACATTGCTGCTCAATTCACACTCAACCAATGAAATAGGAATTAACTAGAATGGGTTCTTTCCACAAAACATCAGAAACATTACCTGCTTTCCTTGTCTCTCTACATAAACTGAAATTCCATGAAGCAATTCCATAGCCCTTACTGATGCAGCTAAGCTTCACTTCGGCAGGCAGTCAAATGAATAAAATGATATGAAGACAAAGAAAGAAACACCCTTCCACTCAGACAAGTGTCCAACGTTGACATGGGAATTAACAAGGCTCCTGTGTTAAGAATTACGGGCCCTCCACAATGGTTTTGATTTCCCTCCCGTGTTAAGAATTTCGGACCCTCTTGTGTTAAGAATTGTCCACTTTAAACATAAGCTTTCACGACTTTGCTTTTGATTTTCCCAAAATGCTCATACCAATGGAAATGTATTTCTTACTTATAACACCATGATCATCCCCTTAATTAGCTAACGTGGGACTCCCTCCCAACCATCCTCAACATCCTAATGTAGGTTTAAATGTTGATAAAATTGAATAGGTGAATGGAAAAACCACCTCTATCATGAACAGACAAAATATAAAGTAACCAATCATGTTATCCCACAAGTAAGCATTCAAATTCCTCACCAATTATAGTGATCTATATCTGGCAAGCATCAGGCATCACATAAAAGAGGATTCAGAGTTATGCTAAATTAAAACTAACGAGTAGTCAGAATTATCTTCAGATCTCTATGACAACGAACGCTGTAGCTTCGAGTCACCCTGAAATAGGGAGTTGGAAATTGAAAGGGGCAAATGAAAGAGAGTCAGAAAAGAGATGAAATATCCAATAAATGAGTTATAAAGAACCAAAAAAGGAAAATGTGTCAAGTTAAGACTTCTAAGATAATCTATAAAGTTGCACTTGTGTAGCCATTAGAGCACCAGATGAGCACTGGCATTCAGACTTCATAGATTCATTAAAGCTTTTCACATCACAAAAAGCTCATGGAATTGCCATTTCAAGAACATGTCCATTCACGTCAAGTACCTATATATATCTGTTATGAGAGTAGAAATGCAGAATGCAATCGATCATCTCCGTTATCCATGCTTCATTTACTTATTTCTTGCTTTCATTATTTCATTCATTTTCTAATATATAATGAATTCAGGTTCATACAAGCTCTAAGGTCGAGAAGGCATTTCACATGACCCGAAGAATCAGGTCATACGTACTATACATAGGCAACATCCATTAAGGATGGAAAAAAAAATGCTGTACTGAATCCCCAGTTCCCAGCGACATTATTAAGAACAAGAATATGCAACTGAGGTAGGAGAATCATACCTTTCCATTATATAGTCATCAAAGGAGATACCAGGGATGCTCATCAGCTGGAACAATGTTACAAGAAACTTCAGGTACTAAGTTGCTGACAAAGATTGGGCCCTCTTAACACCAAAAAGTTTCATTCATGTTCGCAATGTTTTCAAACTCGTGCTTGTGGTCATAGACAAAAAGCAAAAAGAAAAAAAAGGACTTAGGAAACTTAGACATGAGAGTTGCTTTACTTCCCTCTTATCCACGATTCCTGGCAGTAGAGACGAGCTGTACAGGTGGGAAAGGGTAAAACTAACTAATCACAAAGCAAAGTACACATCCAGTAAACCCCAAAAGCTTCTCCAGTGGGCTTAAGAAAACGCCTCCCATCAGTGCATAAATATATAATTCAGGTCAATTCTTGTAGTATGAAGGGATAGCATAAACAATCCTTGTTAAAGTCGATCATATCAGCTGGAGGCTAGTCTACTATTAGCCACTTCAAACTGAATGTCTCTCATAAACGCCCCATTTGCATCTGAGAACCATTTAATCTTCCAGCCGAATCTCCCATTGCTCTAACACTGCCATTCTCCAATCCACTTTTCAGCCAAGCAAGGTTACTTATGTCAGTTGCAATTGCAGCTAGTTCAAAACTGGGAAAGGATAGTGGAGGCTCTGAGAAGTCCACAAATTCTGGGCCTAATAAAGAGTCTAGAGGAGATCCCTGGTTATGACTCTGGCAACAACCATGACCACATTGATGAGGCACTGATCGATCACCATATACACCTTCAAGCAATTTGCTAGCTTCAACTTCTGGTTTTGATGCTTGAATCAATGGCCCCTGCATTGGGACAGGTCGTATAAATGCCCTCAAAGACGCTTGGTCATCCAAAGGGTTATATACACTAAAAGCACTTACTCGAGCCACTGGCCTGTAAATAGTAGACTGTTCTTTGACTTCATGAGTAAATTGACCCTCACTAGCAATAGGGACTTTGTCTTCAAATTGATCGTCCATATGCTCCCGTGAGCTGGCGTCTTTTCCTTCAAAGGATTTAAAGGAATTTACATCCCCACATGAAAGGGTTTCTTCAGATGATCCCTTGGTTTTTTCTAAACTAGCATCATCCACTACATTCCCTGATTCTAACTTGATTCTTTCAAGCTCTGTGCATCGACGTCGTAAAGTGGAATTCCAGTGGTTCTTTATAGCATTATCTGTTCTCCCACGCAAAAGTCTAGCAATTGCTGCCCATTTATTTCCATGAACAGCATGGGCTGCTACAATGATCCTGTCCTCCTCATCTGAAAACACATGGATCTTTAAGCCACTTTCAGAAATAAAATTATATTTTTACCCACCATTAAAACATAACACGACAAGGATCAATTATCCCAATGCATATTTTTACCCACCATTGGAAGCATTGATATACGCAATACAGATACATGACAGTAAAAATGCACATATTACATAGAAACTCTACAAGAGAAAAGGTGTGTCCTTTATGCCGTATGCTTCATTATTTTCATTTGTTCGATTAACAATTTAAGTATAAAGTTTAGATCACATTTCTTAAGTTTTCAGTTAAATATTCGCTACCAAACTAGATCATATTAGTCTCATGCCTATGTCTAAACATTTGAGAACCATTTTAAAAAACTACTACATACACAGAGAATGTTGAATTTCAGGACAATGAACCTGCTGATATCTAAATTTAGATCATTAAAACGATTACCAGAATAGAAAGCAAAATAAGGAGAAAATAATTCACGTCATACTTGTTCCTGTTCAACTTGAGTGATTTACCTCGCACTGAACTAGACCAAAATCACAGATGTCATTTTCATTGATATTCGTGATGGAATCACATGATTGTCCCTACTAGACGAAGGAGAAATTAAGGAATAGAGAAATGTCCAACATAGCAATTTAGGCTTCGGAAAAAAGAATATACATTACGTAGAATTAAAAAAGATCAAATATCAGAATTTTACATCAAGAAGCAAATAACTCAATTCTCTTCTCCACACGCTTAACACTACCAAACATTCGAAATCGGGCCGATGAAAGAAATAAAAGAATCAGCCAAGCAAATAAGTGATTAGGGACAGAGTCTAATACCAGTAAATGGCTTGCGTTTCACGGAAGGGTCGAGCTGATTACACCACCTAAGGCGACAAGACTTCCCCGATCGCCCAGCGATTCCCCGAGCAATCAAGCTCCAATTTCTCGCACCGAACTTGCCCACAAGGCGGCTGAGTATCGCATCCTCTTCAGGAGACCAAGGTCCCTTCACTCTATCTTTGCCGCCACGGCCACCAGTCGTTTCCCCCTCGCCAACCATCGGCACAGCCTCGTCCCCGCTGCCGCAGTCGGCGACGGAAGCGACGGCATCGCATTCATTTACTCCTCCTCCTCCTCCTCCTCCTTCTTCGGCGGCGGAAGCACCAACCTCAGTGGCGGCCGCGTCCTCCATCACAGTATTGTCACCGGCAACCGTCCACGGAACTCAGTCCCCGTATTGACTTAACCGCTCTCCTTTCAACTTTCAATACAAAACAAAGACGACCGAGTGAATTTATAGGGCAAATGTTCCGCAACCTCTTTCTTGCCCAATTCGCTCCCATTTACCAAACTGTCCATCTGAAATTACTTTAATACCCTCCAGTCCTCAATCGCTTCGCTTAAACCGAAATTTTTTGGAATTTTGATCCCTTTTAGGTTAATTTACATTTTTAACCACCAAATCTTTTTAATTTTAAAAAAATGTTTTAAAGTCTAATAAGTTTTTTTTCTTTTTAAATAAATTATTAAACTTTTAAACTACTAATAGATTACTTAAAATTATGATTAAAATTTGAATATTTAGGAATTATATTAAAACCAAATACAAAATGATTATATATATATATATATGTATGTATGTATGTATGTATATGTACATGCATATAATTTAGCAATTTGCAATTGACAATTTTTTTATTCATTTAGTAGAATTCGCCGACCCTGTCAGGCTATTTCTGTAATTTGCTCATTGTCCCTCTAATTTGTTTGAATTAAAATGACGATAACGCCCCTCGAATTTGAAAACTTCACGCCATACGGCGACTAGAGCAAATGAAACGAGGCAGATGGGCTCGTCTTAATTAATTTCAGAGCCCAAATATTTGGAATGGGCTCCATTTCGGCCCATTATAGGACTGCAGGGGTCCAAAGAGTCCACCATCTCTAACGACATGTCGTCTAACGAACATTCTCTGGACGGCAAAGATTCTCCAAACTTAAATAAATATTATTTTTTTTTATGTATTCAACTAATGAACTAATTATAAAATATATGTACGACAAAAATTAATAAAAAAAATTAGAAAAAATAATTTTTTTATAAAATTATTCTATTTGTCAAATTTATTATTGTACGAAAGATGTTATTGAAATTGACGAATTTACATTATTTTATTTTAAAATTAGTGAGTGAATTAACAATTAACATAAATTAAACAAACAATTATTTAAATTTAATATCAAAATCCATAAATTTGGAGTGAAATTGATTTTTTTTTTCTTTTAAGATAATATCATTGAAAATAAAAAATAAAATATTTCCGATTTGACTTCAATAGTCCATTCATCTAACATCATCGTACTGTTAAATTCTTATTATAAATGTTTTGCTAAAGCACAACCGTGCACGAAATCCAGAACCATAATAAAATAATATAGTCCTAATAATTACACGTGTCCATAAATTAAAATTATTTATTTAATTTAATTATTAATTAGTAGAATAATCATAGTTATAAAATATGAAAATTTTGAAGGGATAAACTTTGAAACAACCAAAATATGGGACAATATCGAAAACTACTATATAATAAAGTTGGTTCAATTTTAAAATATTTTGTTAGTTAACAATTTCGACTCCATGATGTTAATAAATTTTTTTTATTGTAGAAATTAACATGTTAGTTTCAAACAATAGTTTAAATAATAACATTTACCAGCTGAATCGACTAAAAAATGCAGAATATTATTAATTTTGATTTTGACTTTGACTTTTATATGTGAAATATCTGTTGGATGAAAGTGTCCCACATCGGTTAATTTAAGGACTGATCATGAGTTTATAATCAAATAATACAGTCTCCATTGGTATAAGACTTTTTGGAGAAGCCCAAAGAGCAAAGCTAGGAGACTTTAAGCTCAAAGTGGACAATATCATATTACTGTGGAGAGTCGTGTTCATCTAATATGGTATCAGAGTCATGCCCTAAATTAAGTTATCACCAAATAATTTTAATTTGACAAGTTATCAAGTTTGACCATTTATTTTCGTTCTTCTTGGTTGTGTATGATTTTTTTTTCATTATTTTTATCTGTATGCCATATCCTAATATTAATTTTTTAAGATAAATATTATTTTATGGGTGAATATGAAACGTAAGGAACACATTATAAGATAGACTAAAATTCGAATAAACAGCTAAAACGGGCCCAACACTAACGAATGAAACTCGAGGGTTAACTAGTCCTTGTATAGCTAAAGACATATCGAGAGGCACAATATAATATTAGTGGCTTGAGATGAAGATGATCTTTTCATCCTCGTTCCCTCCATCACTTAAACCATCGATCTTGCTAATCTTTGTTATAAACAAATCACAAGAGAATAAGACTTATATTAATATAAATAAGATATATTTTTTTAGATCTGTGACCTCCCACGTTGGTTGGGGAGGAGAACAAAACACAAATTATAAGGGTGTGTAAACCTTCCTCTAACAGATGCGTTTTAAAGTCTTGAGGGAAAATTCGAAAGGAAAAGCTCAAATATGACAATTTTTATTAGCGGTGGATCTGAGCTGTTACAAGATCAAAGGGTTTTGATGAATGGAAATTAAATAATAAATAATTGACGTGGAAATTGAAAGATTTAAATAATTTAGACGCTAGATATTATTTAATAATAATGATATTATCAAACAAATCTTTTTTCCATGTTAAATATTTAAATAAAATTTAATGCATTGGTTTCAATTTTTAATTAAATAGTGTTAATATAAGTTTATAATATAAGTTTGAATTAAATATCCAGTTTTAGGGGTTTGGTGAGCTGTTAGATAACGAAATATTTAGTTTAAAATAATGAAAATTCAATTTCCGAAATTGTGTATCTATAAATATATGCCAATTCTGATACTTATTCTCCCAATTATCATCCTTAAATGGCTTCTTCATTGGCTCTTCTTCTTCTTCTTCTCCTCGCCTCTTCTTCAATGGCTTCAGCCGCCATTGTTGAACACTCTTTCACCGTAAAACTTTCATTTTTGCAGAGTTTTTCCATTTTCATTATTATTTTTTGTATTAAAAAATTAAGCCTATTATATATAAATATCATTGATTTAAAAACAAAAATTATAATAAATCACTCCACACATTTTGTGTTCAACATGTCATTAGATATATTCAATTTTTTTTATAAAAAAAATTATTAACCTCTTAATTTCAAAATATTAAATTCGTGAAAATTTATGGAATATAAAATTAAAAAATTAGAAATTTAATAAATTTAAAATGGATGAAGGCGAAATTAAAAATTTAAGAATTTAAATAAACAGTGAATTAAAATTGTAATTTAACCTATTTATTTTCATGCATTTGAAAAATTAATTTATTTTGTTTCTATTTCATTTAAACGGGAGCCGTTCTCTATCTAACTGTAGGTGGAAGACATGACCGTTCGACGGCTCTGTCGTGACCAGGTGATAACGGCGGTCAACGGTGAATATCCCGGTCCAACCATTCATGTTCAAGACGACGACGTTCTAATCGTCCACGTTTCCAACAACTCCCCCTACGATTTAACCATTCACTGGTAATTTCTATTAATTACAAAATTAGGAGCTCTAATTTCTATTAATTACAGGTTAAACCAAACACTTTTTTTTTTTTTTTTTTTTAATATTACA